TGTTGTGAACGAAAAGTCAGGAAAAGCCATTACCTTTTCCTGTCACTACCACTGCAACAGTGACAGCCCAAAGCAGGAAGTGCTGTTCTCATACAGAGGTGACAGCACTGCAGTCCTCTAAGGGACACTACAATGGATTTCAGTTCTTGTACTAATTCTGACTGAACGTGTACATTACAAATGTGTAGGTGCATAATCAATTATAATTTTGACTGATGAGAATCAAGGATTCAGGTGACTTGGATTAATTGAAGGTTTCCTTACACTTTAGAGTTTATGTATCAACAGTTTGGCAAAGTAACGTTAGCTGAAACTACTTGTGGGTCATGCTACAGTGTTGGAAAAGGAGGGGAAAAGACAGAGAGGGATTTAGTAAACTGAGAAAAAGATATACACATACTCCAGTTGTGTTGAAGTTTAGTTGTTACAATTAATGGGAGTAGGCTTGGCTCACCAAATGCAAATATAGTTATTTTTAAGTTCTTTCAGCTATTCATATGTAACTCCAGTATTATTGTGGAATAATTCTGCTCTTTTCAACAGAAGACAAAATGCCCTGTGAATCACCTTCCTCTATTCCGAACATTGCTCTATATCAGGCAGATCAGACCCAGTTTTCACATGGCGATCAAGTAATTTGTGGATGTAAATCAGGCTCTGGCAATTCTAAGCAAATGAAAATAAAATGTCTTAATGGAGAATGGAAGCCTTTACCTCTTTGTGCTGGTAATCTCTTTCCATACTATTTTCATAATATTTCAGATGTGAGTGTGAGATAGTTCTGTTCAAAATGTCAAGGATTTCAGCAATCAATATGTAGCCGGACATACTACAGTTTCATGCATCAAAACTAAGTGGGTTTTATTTACTCCTCTTTTAAATGGCAGCATGTTCTTCATCCTGAAAAGACTCTGCACCTACAACTTCGTAAGCACTATGAGCAGATCAAAGACACTTGCATAGTCGTTAAAATCAAGTAATAAAAGGAATTAATGTTAATAGCAATAGTGTGTTAGGCTTATCCCATCCTCACCATTTTTATGTGCATTAGTCCTTTTCACAGAATCCCAGAATAGGTCAGGCTGGAGGGGACCACAGTGGGCCATCTGGTCTAATGTCCCTGCTCAAGCACCCACAAAGTAAAGTTTTTCCTCATATTCATGTGGAAGTTCCTGTGCATCAGTTTCTGCCCATTGCCTCTTGTCCTCTTGTTTGGCACCACTGAGAAGAGCCTGGCTCCCTCCTCCTGAGATCCTTCAGATATTAGTAGATCCTGGTAGACATTGATGAGGTCCCCTTCTCTTTTTGCTCATTTCACAGCCTTTCTATAGTTTTAGGGAATAAAATGTTGGCTAGGTTTTTATTATTATTATTTGCTGCACTCAGCAAAAGGGATCCTGTCAACATAAAAAAATTGCTTGGGGACTGAGAACAGTCTCTACTTTAGGTAGCTGGAAAAAAAGTCTTTGTTTCTGTCATCTAGGAGTCTTAGGCATCACTTCAAATTACAGTAAATAAAAACCCATTTTCACATGGACATGCCTTAAGAAACTGATGATATCTTCATAAGTACATATTATCTGAACTGAATCTATTTTCTTTTATAGCTCTTTTTGTTTATTTTTTTTTTTTCAGATCCATCTCCTCAGTGTGAACTTCCAGTGGGTGTTGAGTTTATAAGCTCTGGTCAACATTCCATGTCAAAAAGAAGCATTGGTTTTTATAAAGTTATACGTTACAGATGTACATCAGCTGACAAAAACATTAAACAGGCAACTTGTGTGTCTGGCAAATGGACACCAGAGATTGAATGTCCAGGTATGTTTTTAGATTTGCATACCATTTCTTCTTTTTATGTAGGAATGATAAATGATCATTATTAAAGCTTTTCAGTGTTTCTGTATAGTCTGAAATAGAAATGCTTACATGCAGATGTATATGCTAAAGGGTAGTCACGGCCATCCTTTCTTCTTTCCTGTGGCAGGAAGAGCCTTTCATTCCTTGAGTGGCGGATTTGAAACCTATTTCTTTGCTTTCGTTTGCAATTCTCATTTAGCTCTAAGTCTGAAGAAAAACAAAACAAGAATTCCAGAAGTTGGTTCAATTTTCCTAAAATAGTTCACCATAGAGAGAGGAACAGGGCAAACACATCAGAGTGTGCAGATGTGTGAAGGGGAAAGAAGCTCCAGCTTAGCTTGCTGTGGGCAACTGTGACAGTCTTTTCTATGACTCTGAAAGCATATGAGCATCTGAAGGCAGCTCTGGTGTTTCTGAAGCAGAACAAAATGGTCGTTTTATTAATTAAAGCTTGAGATAGCTACTGGAGAGTTATCCAACATCAATGTTTTCTTGGTTCTTTGTGTTTTAATCTGTGATGAACTACTATGCTTTATCTTATGTTCTATTATAACATGAACATATGTCCTTAGCTGAGGAGGGTGTGTGCCCACCTCCACCTCAGGTGTCTGGTGCTCAACAGACAACAGCTGGAAGAAATTACAGGCATGGGAGTAAAATAGCTTTTTCATGTGCCAATGGTTTCCGGCTCATCGGTGCAAAAGAAATAACCTGCATAGAAGGGAAATGGCAATCACCACCTCAGTGTGTGGGTCAGTACTGGGATATTTTTTTCTATTTATTTTATTATGACTTTCTGTGTTATGCATTTGCACTCATCATTAGCAGGAGGATGCTGTTATTTACATAAGATTATCATGGACAGGTAACTGCAGAAAAGCAATAGAACATAAGTTGTTAAAGAAAGTGTAGTTAAGCAACTGCAGTCTTTTTATTTACACAGACTGATCTAACATGGCATATAATACTTTCAGGTAGTCTCTCAAGAGCTGTGTGCTTATTTGTTTGTATAGTATATTGCATAATGGAGTCTCAGTTTTGACTGGAAGCCTTAAATAGTATCCCGTAGTCTGTAAATCAGCATTATTTATTACTTAGTTGCAGTTGCAATATTAATTTTATTGCATTATTGCTTATCTTTGTTTTCTGCATTTTTTAGAAAGACCATGTTTGCCACCACAGCCTGTAGAATGTGCTGATGCTCCAAGGCTGGAAAATCCAAACTTAAAAATTGAAATAGAAGGGAAATCAATTTATCTGACTGGTGCTAAATTTAAGTATGTTTCTCGTTCTGGATACATGTTAAATGGACCTACTGAGATAACTTGTTCTATGGGAGAATGGACTTTAGCTCCTGCATGCTTGGGTAATATAAAAAAATACCTTTTTTTTTTTAAGTGTATTTAACAATAAAATGCAAAGACTTTTAAACTGAAGCTTTATTTTGCTGTGGAATGTCTTCAGAGCAATCCTGATTGGGTGCAAAACTGACTTTCTGAATGTAGCTTAGTTTTTAAATATTCCTTTGTATTCTTGTAATCTTTGTTCAGTTCATATCTCTGCCAGGTGAGTCCTAGGCATACCCTTATAATCCAAGGACCTGTTTTCTCGAGAGTCCAGTAGTGACTAAGAGTTGCTTTGGAGTCTCAGTGGTGGAAATCACTTCAGTACAGTAAGGGACAGAAGCCTGTAGTCAAATTTTCTGGCATGTTTAGAAACAGGATCTAAATATTTTGGTGACTGAAATCTGTGCTAGTTTAGAGGAATAACTTATTTAATCTTCCCTATGTAATTATTAGTTAACTATAATTATATAATCCACTGTCAGCAGATGACTATGCTGATGTTAGAAATAGCTCACTAAAGCATCTGTTTGGTGGAAAAAGTACATTCCTTTGATGTGTATCCCATTAGTACCAGCATCAGATTTCTGTTATCTTTTCAGAAATGTCATGTGGAAGTATTCCAAAAGTTGCCAATGCTCAATTTGAAGGCAGAACCAAGGAAACTTATGAACCTGGTGAAACAATTCGCTACGAGTGTGATGCAGGGTTCCTGATTGTTGGTTCCCCCCGAAATTCTTTGCAGAGAAGGAAATTGGACAGCACCGCCCTTCTGTGAAGGTATAGGTTCTACTTTTAAGTAGTCCTTCTCAATATTGCATGTGAATTAATAGAATTTCAACTCAGGCATGCAGGTGAGTCAGGCCAATAGAGCCAACAGGTGACTTGCTTTGAATGGGCTGCTAAAACACCTATTTTTCTGGCTCCTGAGAAACAAAAAGCAGCGTAGATCAGCAAAGCAATCATTTCCTTGTGGGCTGAAGCTAGTAGCTGAAACTTAGCTGTCTGCTGAAATCAAGCAGGCAGATGTTTATGGAGGAATGCATCTTGGCTGCAAAGGAGGAGAAAATTAGTAGGGTAATGTATCTTATTTTCACATCACTAAAAATGTCAGTTTCTGACAGTTACCTTCAAATAGTAAGCAAATCTCCTCACTCTCCAGTCCATTGGTACACAATGCTGAACAGCACCAATCTGCACAATTGGCTGATCTCTGTGACTTCTTTTCTCTTTTTACTCACTTTAGGCAAAAATAATATTGTGTGGTGAAGCATTGCAGAATAAAGACCAAATTATCTTCTTTTTCTACCTGTAGAAAATTATCTGCATTACACAAACCATTTTTGCTCATCAGGAGCTCTGGAATGCAATGTTCTGTGGTTCTTATATTGCTGTACTGCAGTCTTTACATGCACCTCTCTCTTTTCAGATGTTAGCTGTGGACCTGTACCTGCAATCCCCAATGGTCAAGTTGCAGGCACTCAACAGGAGAGGTATCTGCCCAGTGCCAGAGTGCATTATCAATGTGAAAGCAATTTTCAAATGATAGGTGGAAATTTCGTCACTTGTTTAAATGGTGAATGGTCACAAGCACCAGTGTGCAGAGGTAGGAACCTGTGCTTTCATCTTGCCTGTTAGCATAGAGGGGACTGTTTCTCTACCTAAACACTCTGAAGACTTCACCTTTTCTACTTCTCTTTTCTTTGGGTACCTCAACTTTGTAGTTTCTATTGCTTACTTGCACAGCACTTTAACTTAGCTTGATGCTTCTAGAAATACTGGGAATATTTCCATCAACAGCAAAAATGTCTTGAAGCAGCAGGGCCAAAAATGTGCTGTACTGTCATTCTCCTGCATGTTGTTGGTATTGCTCCAGTGTCCACCATTTCAACAACCTTCAGTGGAAAGACATGTAAGGGCTTCTGTCTTCTGTTCAAAGCTGTCAGGAAGTATCTGAATGGAAACAGCAGTAGGGGAGAGAAGAAACTCCAGGGCTCCCCTCTGACCAATGCAGATCCCAGCAGAGACCCAGATCTAAACCATGTGAGGTCTGCCAGGGCCATAGAACTGGAAAGATTGTTCCTGTGACAAGGAATGGCGATGAGCTGTGCTCCTGTGCCCTGCCGAAATCTGTGGCTGCAGGGTGAACAAGTGCTACTTGGCTTTCACACAGCTCCTTGGAGCTGGCTGCATTCCCCCATCCCTGAGCAGCACAGGCTGACAAGCTCCTCCAGTGCTGCCAGTCCTCCAGAGCTCTGCACTTCAGCACAGTGTCAGTTTGGCTGTTACCTCTGTGGTTTCCAGGAATGCCAGGGCTCCCTAGGGAGGGACATGGGCATGTGGGAAGGCTCCCGTGTCTTCTGTGACATTAAGCGTAGCTACAGAAACATTGGCTTTTTCTAGAAACTCTTATTGACCCTGCTCATCTCCTGAGAGTCCCAGATCATTTTCTGCTGCCACTGTCACACCTCATTGCTTTCTCCATGGTGTGACCCACCTGAGACAGAAAATCTGTACAGAAATTGTAACCAGATTGATTCCTTTAACTTTTGGTTGTAGAGATGAACGTCTCAACAACTGCAAAGGTGACTGTAGTTGTCTCTTTTCAGATGTGACATGTGAACCTCCTCCAGAAATTGCTGGTGGTAGAATTAATATTAAAAAGACAAAGTATCTCCCTGGGGAGACTGCTAACTATGACTGCTGGCAAGGTTTTAAGATGACTGGGACTTCCACTGTAGTGTGCCAGAACGGGACCTGGACAGAGCTGCCAAAGTGCAAAGGTAATTTCTCTCTCTCTCTCTCTCTCTCTCTCTCTCTCTCTCTCTCTCTCTCT